CCTCCCCCCAGGGGGAGAGCGGAGCCCCCACCGGGGCTCACCGCCCTCCTCCCAGGGCTCCGGCCCCCCTCCCCCCAGGGGGAGAGCGGAGCCCCCACCGGGGCTCACCGCCCTCCTCCCAGGGCTCCGGCCCCCCTCCCCCCGGGGGCGGCCGGCGGCATTTTTGCCTGGGGCGGCAAAAAAGCCAGAGCAGGCCCTGGAGCCTAAATACCTTTGAGTAGTTGTGTAAATGTGTCCATTGTCCATTGCCTAATTTCCATACACTGTTTTTAATAATTACTCAGTTTTAGGACCTGATGTTAAACAGTTGTTCACCATGTCACACCACCAAGATGCAACTGGAAAATGAAAAAAAAAGGGGGGGAGGGGGCTCTACAGTGCTACCAATTATTCCCAAGGAATTAAAACAATATATTTTCCCTTGTTGATGTTATGGTTAAATGTATTTTTTTTCTTTTGTTGAATAAGAGAAATAATCATCATAACTATAGGATATACTAGCAATCTGACAGATTTATCCCTGTATGACATTATTCAGCTTTGTTTCTGGATATATTTATTCTTAAAAATTGTATATTCTACTGCCATGAGCACGAACCCTTAAATAAAGCTCTTTTATGGACTATCTTTACCCCTTTGTTTATTCCACATTGTAGTGGGACAGTTGCTCCACTTTGGCAGAGGAGGGGTTAAAGGAGGCTTGATGAGCCTGTGCAGAACCCGGACAATCAGAGAAGGGCAGAAAGGCAGCCAATCAGGGCCAGGCTGGGCCCTATATAAAGGCTGCAAAGCAGAGGAGCTAGGAGTCTCTTTCTGACAAGCAACAGAGAAGGACTGGTTCCCTGTAGACAGAGCACCTAGGCTAGAGCAGGGCTCAGGGGAGCAGAGAGAGAGATCTCCAGCCTATCACCTGCCAGGTGGCAGCCCCTGATTAAAGGGGCCAAGAAGGTGCATGGGCCAAGGGGAAGTGGCAAAGAGTACACAGGGAAAAGAGGGGACAGACGGAGGGCAGTGGGAGGCTGCTGCTAGAGGGTCCACCTGTGTTGGGACCCAGAGTAGTGGGTGGGCCTGGGTCCTCCTTTCTCCCCACCTCCCCCTTACACTGCACCTTCCCATGGAGGAGCATGGCTGATGGAGTGTGCCTTGTTCCTGAGGCAAGGGACTAGACTTTGGAGTGGCAGGTGGCCACCAAGGCAGGTGCAGACTGAGGACTGCTAATACCCCCGGAAGGGGGGAGAATAGAGCAAGGGTACAGCCGGAGCAACATGGGTCCCAGACAGCACAGCAGTGCAGGCAACAGGTGGAACAACAACTGCAGAGGGTGCTCCATGGCTAGGACAGAGCTAATTCCTGGAGCGACCAGCAGGACGTGCCACGGTGGTGAGCACAACCCGTTACACACACCTTAATTTAAACCGATACATTCAGAAATTCTAGTTTAAAAAAAAGCATAAGGCACTTGTGGTAACTTTTTGGTGTGTATAAAGACCCAGTCCTGCAAACATTTATGCATGTGCTTAACTTTAATCTTGGTGAAGTCAGTAGGACTTCACACATTCTTAACATTTGGCACACATGAGTAAGAGTTTGCAGGATCATAGCCTAAATTTGGTGTTAGTAGTTTTACTTAAGACTAGATCAGGGGTTGGCAACCTTTCAGAAGTGGTGTGCCGAGTCTTCATTTATTCACTCTGATTTAAGGTTTCGTGTGCCAGTATTACGTTTTAACATTTTTAGAAGGTCTCTTTCTATAAGTCTATAATATATAACTAAACTATTGTTGTATGTAAAGTAAATAAGGTTTTTAAAATGTTTAAGAAGCTTCATTTAAAATTAAATTAAAATGCAGAGCCCCCTGGAATGGTGGCCAGGACCGAGGCCATGTGAGTGCCACTGAAAATCAGCTCGTGCCGCCTTTGGCACGTGTGCCATAGGTTGCCTACCCCTGGAATAGACTGAGGGTATGTCTTCACTACCCGCTGTATCGGCAGGTAGCAATCGATTTATCTGGGATGGATATATCGTGTCTCGTTAAGATGCGATATATCGATCCCCGAACGCGCTCACCCTCGACTCCGGAACACCACCAGAGCGAGCGGCGGTAGCGCAGTTGACGGGGGGGCTGCAGCCGTCGATCCCACGCCATGTGGACCCCAGGTAACTTGATCTAAGATACTTCGACTTCAGCTACACAAAGCGTATCTTAGATCGATTCCCGCCCCCCCCCCCTCAGTGTAGACCAGCCCTGAGACCTAAATATAGCCCTGTGTAATTTGTGGGATTTAGATATGCCATGCCAGAAGCAGCTCTGGGAAATGGCTTTCTGAGTTTCAATTCCTTTTATGGTTCACTGTTAGCCCAGAATGGAAGTAAGATAGTGCAGTTTACTCCCTCTCACCAGCTTAGTTTTACTGCCTGATTTGTTGGAAGGCAGAGCCAAGGCTCTGGTCATTCCATGCCCCTCTCCATCCATTTCCCACCTACTAGTTTGTAAAGGGTGTATGTAGTAATGCTAGGAAAACAGTTTTCCCACTGGTGCCGATTGTGGTGCTCTCAAGCACAAAGGAGGTTGAGACTTCTACTGCCATGAACTGTGAAGGTAAGTGATAATTTTGGCTATAAAAGGACACTGAACTTGCATTGTCGAAATCAATCTCAAAATTGCCATTGACTTAAGTAGTGCAGTTTTAGGTGGATCATAAAGTGATATGTTATTAGGGAAGCAAAGACTATAAATTTGTCCTGATCATATTTTTATTACATATTTTACATTGTATTTTATATTTTTCAGGTTCTAGTCAGAGCACTGTTAGTAAATAATTAACAAAATATTGGGGTGATGGTGCTGAGAAGTTTTAAGACTCAAATGACTTACAGTTTTCTTAATTTCTCATGTAAGATGCAAATACAAAGTGAAATGATCATGCTGCTTTTCTGATGGCATCTTTTTAATGTAATGTTGTTTGATGCAGTAGGACATATGAGATCAGGGCCGGCTTTAGGAAGTGCGGGGCCCAATTCGAACATTTTCGGTGGGGCCCCGGCAGGGATGACTGAAAAAAAAAAAAATGTAAAAAATTAAATTAATAATATATGGAGATATCCTATCTCATAGGGCTGGAATGGACCCTGAAAGGTCATCAAGTCCAGCCCCCTGCCTTCACTAGCAGGACCAAGTACTGATTTTGCCCTAGATGGCCCCCTCAAGGATTGAAATCCTAACCCTAGGTTTAGCAGGCCAATGCTCAAACCACTGAGCTATCCCTCCCCCTTTCATTTCTTCCATGTATTATTTACTTTCCATAGCTATATAAATAATAACAAAATTATATATTACGTACATTGCGCAATGTATGTGGATGTATGTTAACCCTACCTAAAGTTCTTTTTTAAAAAGATGGGCCTGAACTAGAAATAAGCTCCATTTCACATGTGTGGGTCCCCGCCACTCCCTGGGGGTGTGGCATGTGCACATGTGTGGGTCCTAGCTGCTCCCTGCCCCTCTCATTGAAACAGGTGTGCAGGGTTACTGCCCTGGGAACTGCAGGGCACCAGTGGACATGGGGCTGGCTGGAGGCAGGGCAGGAGCTGGCTGGAGGTAGGGGCTGGCTGCGGGCAGGGTGGCGGGTACTCACGGGGAGAGCGTCTCAGAGCAGCCCGAGCAGCCCAGGCCCAGCAGAGCAGCCGGGGACCCACCAGGCAGCAGCAGGAGCCCCAGGGCCAGGGGTCCGAGGAGCAGCAACAGGGCCAGGAGGTGGCCCACATGGCTCCCGCAGCACAGCACCCCTGGCGGCCAGAGGAGGAATTACATGCTTCCCGGCCAGAGCCCATCAAAGCCGCAGCGTGCCCCCCCCACTCCCCCCTCAGGGAAGCCGGTTAACAACCGGTTCATGCGAACTGGCTCCAGCTCACCACTGGCTGAGGGGGTCAGAGCCAGCCCCCAGCCCACCCTGTATGGTAAGTGCCCCCTCCTCCTCCCTCCTGGAGACAGGGGCTGTGGGGCTGGTGCGGGCAGGGCAGGGGGTGCAGCAGGGGCTGCCTGCAGGCAGGGGGTGCAGCAGGGGCTGGCTGGAGACAGGGGCTGGCTGCGGGCAGGGTGGGGCTGGTGCGGGCAGGACAGGGGGTAGCAGCAGCAGCCTGGGGCTCGGGGGCTATTTAAAGGGCCTGGAGCTCCCCTGCTTCTACCTCCCCGGCCCTTTAAATAGCCACGGGAGCCCTGGGAAAGCGGCGGGGCTCCTGCGTCTATTTAAAGGACGGGGCAGCAGAGGCAGCTGGAGCCCTGGCCCTTTAAATAGCCCCCGGAGCCCCCGCTACCCCAGGGCTCTGGGGGCTATTTAAAGGGCCCGGGCAGGGCCGGCTTTAAGCCGATTCAACCAATTCTCCTCTTTAGGGCACGGGGCCCGATTCAGGGGAATTGATTGAATTGGCCTAAAGCAGGCCCTGTATGAGATCGCTAGGCTTGATCACTGCTCCCCAGGTGGTAAAAGCTACATGAGGAGGCTATATGGCAGGAAAAACCAAAGATTTTCCTCCAAAGATCCCACCCAAGTTGTTCCATTGTTACTGCATGGTTTGATGGAACCATGATACAAGTGCTTCCTCTAGCTGGGGTTTCCTCTGAGACTCCATTTTACAGGGTTTCTCTTGCACAGGGTCGTGGTCTAAGCTGTATTTATACATACTAAGTGCTCCTCCAATTACTTTAGAAGTATATAAACAAGAACAACAGTCTTCCCTATGTGTGCGGTTACTCTGACTTAGAGGAGTGGAAACTCCAGAGTACAGTTTATGGAGTTTCCTGGTAATTCTGCCAGTTGATGAGGCTTTGCCCTATGTGAAAGATATTGGGGGGTGGGGGGGAGAGAGGGTTCCTTTCTCTTGCAGTAGATTCTCAGAAAGCCACGTGTAGGCTGAATTTGCTGTTCAGATCTATACACCTGTAATAAAATTACATTCTTAACAGAGCCAGTGAATCACAAAGCACAATGTCTAGAATAAAACAGCTACCCAGTTATTAAACTACAATTCCCCAAAGACCCAGCATTAAGTTCACACTATCATTTCCAGTTTAAGAAGCCTCCACTTCTAGCAGTGCCTCACTTAGAAGCAAGTCCAGAGAGCAAGGGGAGTATTTATGGTAAATAGAAGCTTCCCATCTCATTGTTCATAATGTTCTAAAAGTTATAAACTAATAATTATAATAGGAACAAAAAGCTTGGACTTGTCCTAGCCACTAACTGTAAATCTAATAAACAAATTGGTGCCAGGATTATGGAATTTAAGGAGTTTTAAGCTGCTTGTTATAACCAATCTGTCCTGGAAAAAAAAGAGAGAGAGAGAAATCCCCTTTTATGGAGGCGGGGAAACTCCCCTCTCCCTCTTCATGCTGTATTTCCATCCTGATTTGAAACCAAGAAATACCAGTTATCCTAATAGTTCAGTATAGTTTCTAAAGAAGTTAAGCAGATCTTTGCATAAGCATTTGGCCTAGATCCTCAAAGGTATTTAGACACCTAACTTCCATTAAAATCAGTTATTCACTGAAAGAGGAGCAATGTCCATGCATGATACATTGAAGAGCATTCAGAGAAGAGCCACAAGAATGATTAGAAAACATGTCTTATAGTGACAAATTCAAAGAGCTCTATCTATTTAGTTTAACAAAGAGAAGGTTAAGAGACTTGAGTATTGTCTATAAGTATCTATACAGAATTACAGAAATGTAGGACTGGAATGGACCTTGAGAGATCAAGTCTAGCCACTTGCACTGAGGTAGGACCAAGTAAACCTTAGATTACCCCTGACCGGTGTTGTCTAGCCTATTCTTAAAAACCTCCAATGAGGGGGATTCCACAGCCTCCCTTGGAATCCTCTTTCAGAGCTTAATTACCTTGTAATTAGAAAGTTTTTCCTAATATCTAATCTAAATATTGCATTCTGCAGATTAAGCCAACTACTATTGTCTCACCTTCAGTGGACATGGGGAACAATTGGCCAATGTCCTCTTTATAACAGCCCTTAACATATTTGAAAACTATCAGGTCAATATATTAAGACTTGACAGGTTGGATGGTCTTGTGGTTTAGCCACCACACTGGGACTCAGGAGATCTGGTTTAATTTTCCCATTTGGCCACAGACTTCCTGTGTGACCTAAAGCAAGTCACTTAGCTCATAGGTGCTGAAACTAGGGATGGTGGGGGGTGGAGGGGCTACAGCCTGAAGTGGTTTCCATTATATACAAGATTTACAGTTTGGTTCAATGGCTCACAGCACCCCCACTATACAAATTGTTTCAGCACTCCTGACTTAGCTTCTCCGGGCCTTTGTTCCCCAATGTAAAATAGGGGCAATGTTTCCTTTTTCCCCACTCTTTGTTCACCTTGTCTGTTCAGGTTGTAACTTCTTAGGGGCAGGGGTTATCTCTCACTATGTATCTACTGTGTCTAGAGCAATGGGCCCTGATCTTGGTTAGGTCTGCTAGGTGTTACTCAACATTTATCATATTTGTATTACAGTATAGGTTTTTGTCAAACAAATCCACAAAAACAGCCAATGATTTCTGTGGACTCTTGAGAACTGGGCAGTAGGTTCTAAATTAATAAGCGGATACCAGTTCAGCAGACCTCTCTAGCTACATTCTTTCCATGCAGTTTTACAAGCCAAAATAAATAAACCAAAAAAGTACATAGCTTAGACTTTGAAACAGTGCCTCTCTCTCTCTCTCTCTCTCACTCTGCACTGTACTGTACTGTACTGAACTATGAAATACTACAGATGCGGTGTTGTTAACATGCAGGATATTATCACAAGTGCAGTAATTTTGGGCCTATTTTGCAATCTCCCTATTTGTGATATTGCAAGAGAACTCAGGCAGCTCAGGAATTTTGCCCAAATTTTGTAGTTATGTTCCTTCAGCTGCTAGAGGCCTCTGTGCTACTTGTGCTCCAGCCAGGCAGCCATAGCTGTTGCCTGCAGTCCAGGTGCGTTCCTGTGCTCTGAGCGGGGTGGAGTTCTGGAGCAGGTGCAGCAGAGCAGAGCTGCCTCTTCCCTGCCAGCTGGGCAGCAGTGCTTTCGCCCTCACCATCACAGTGCAGGAAGGGGGGGTTCATGTAAGTAAGAGTCCAGGAGGAGCCATCTCCTCTGCAGGCTGGAGACAAGGGGTGACTGCTTGGGGTACTGAAGGGTCATGAGACCCTGCTGGGATGGGGATGGGGGTGGGGGAGGCTGGCAGAGCCAGCCTGAGAGGAGCCAGCAGGGATCTGGGTGAGGGGAGGAGGGGAATTTGGAGAGCAGGTGCTGGGTGGAGCCAAGGCTTTTTATGTGCATACTTGGCATACATTAAGGTTGAATTTTTACCCTGTAACTGACTCCGCATACCCTGGGTGTGATGATGGGAAGTTCCAAACCCAGGATATGGACCAAACCACAATTTAAA